GTTCACCCTTACCCTTACTTAACACAGGAAGCTATCGGGTTCACCCTTACCCTTAACGGGCTATCAGGTTCCCACCCTTACCCTTACGTAACATAGGAAGCTATCAGGTTCACCCCTACATAACATAGGAAGCTATCAGGTTCACCCTTACCCTTACATAACATAGGAAGCTATCGGGTTCACCCTTACTTAATATAGGAAGCTATCGGGTTCACCCTTACCCTTACATAACATAGGAAGCTATCGGGTTCACCCTTACATAACATAGGAAGCTATCGGGTTCACCCTTACTTAACATAGGAAGCTATCGGGTTCATCCTTACCCTTACATAACATAGGAAGCTATCGGGTTCACCCTTACATAACATAGGAAGCTATCGGGTTCACCCTTACCCTTACATAACAAAGGAAGCTATCGGGTTCACCCTTACCCTTACATAACAAAGAAAGCTATCGGGTTCACCCTTACCCTTACATAACATAGGAAGCTATCGGGTTCACCCTTCATAACATAGGAAGCTATCGGGTTCACCCTTACTTAACAAAGGAAGCTATCGGGTTCACCCTTACTTAATATAGGAAGCTATCGGGTTCACCCTTACCCTTACATAACATAGGAAGCTATCGGGTTCACCCTGACTTAACATAGGAAGCTATCGGGTTCACCCTTACTTAACATAGGAAGCTATTGGGTTCATCCTTACCATTACATTACATAGGAAGCTATCGGGTTCACCCTTAAATAACATAGGAAGCTATAGGGTTCACCCTCACCCTTATATAACATAGGAAGGTATCGGGTTCACCCTTACATAACATAGGAAGCTATCGGGTTCACCCTTACCCTTACATAACATAGGAAGCTATCGGGTTCACCCTTACCCTTACATAACATAGGAAGCTATCGGGTTCACCCTTACCCTTACATAACATAGGAAGCTATCGGGTTCACCCTTACTTAACATAGGAAGCTATCAGGTTCACCCCTGCATAACATAGGAAGCTATCGAGTTCACCCTTACTTAACATAGGAAGCTATCGGGTTCACCTTTAAATAACATAGGAAGCTATCGGGTTCACCCTCACCCTTACATAATATAGGAAGCTATCGGGTTCACCCTACTTAACATAGGAAGCTATCGGGTTCACCCTTACACAACATAGGAAGCTATCGGGTTCACCCTTATTTAACATAGGAAGCTATCGGGTTCACCCTTACCCTTAAATAACATAGGAAGCTATCAGGTTCACCCCTACATAACATAGGAAGCTATCGGGTTCACCCTTACACAACATAGGAAGCTATCGGGTTCACCCTTACATAACATAGGAAGCTATCAGGTTCACCCTCACCCTTACATAACATAGGAAGCTATCGGGTTCACCCTTACATAACATAGGAAGCTATCGGGTTCACCCTTACTTAACACAGGAAGCTATCGGGTTCATCCTTACCCTTACGTAACATAGGAAGCTATCAGGTTCACCCCTACATAACATAGGAAGCTATCAGGTTCACCCTTACCCTTACATAACATAGGAAGCTATCGGGTTCACCCTTACATAACATAGGAAGCTATCGGGTTCACCCTTACTTACCCTACATAATCCTTAACATAGGAAGCTATCGGGTTCACCCTTACATAACATAGGAAGCTATCGGGTTCACCCTTACTTAACATAGGAAGCTATCGGGTTCACCCTTACCCTTACATAACATAGGAAGCTATCGGGTTCACCCTTCCCATAACATATCGGGTATCGGGTTCACCCTTACATAACATAGGAAGCTATCGGGTTCACCCTTACCCTTACATAACATAGGAAGCTATCGGGTTCACCCCTACCCCATTACATAACATAGGAAGCTATCGGGTTCACCCCTACCACTACTATACATACATAGGAAGCTATCGGGTTCACCCTTACCCTACATAACATAGGAAGCTATCGGGTTCACCCTTATAACATAGGAAGCTATCGGGTTCACCCATTACATAGGAAGCTATCGGGTTCACCCTACCTTAACATAAGGAAGCTATCGGGTTCACCCTTTATACCCTTAATATAGGAAGCTATCGGGTTCACCCCTTACATAACATAGGAAGCTATCGGGTTCACCCTTACCCTTACATAACATAGGAAGCTATCGGGTTCACCCTTACATAACATAGGAAGCTATCGGGTTCACCCTTACCCTTACATAACATAGGAAGCTATCGGGTTCACCCTTACATAACATAGGAAGCTATCGGGTTCACCCTTACTTAATCATAGGAAGCTATCGGGTTCATCCTTACCCTTACATAACATAGGAAGCTATCGGGTTCACCCTTACATAACATTACATAACATAGGAAGCTATCGGGTTCACCCTTACCCTTACATAACATAGGAAGCTATCGGGTTCAGCCCTTATCGGGTTCACCCTTCACCCTTACATAACATAGGAAGCTATCGGGTTCACCCTTACCCTTACATAACATAGGAAGCTATCGGGTTCACCCTTCATAACATAGGAAGCTATCAGGTTCACCCTTACTTAACATAGGAAGCTATCGGGTTCACCCTTACTTAACATAGGAAGCTATCGGGTTCACCCTTACTTAACATAGGAAGCTATCAGGTTCACCCCTACATAACATAGGAAGCTATCAGGTTCACCCTTACCCTTACATAACATAGGAAGCTATCGGGTTCACCCTTACTTAACATAGGAAGCTATTGGGTTCATCCCTACCCTTACATTACATAGGAAGCTATCGGGTTCACCCTTACCCTTACATAACATAGGAAGCTATCGGCTTCACCCTTACCCTTACATAACATAGGAAGCTATCGGCTTCACCCTTACCCTTACATAACATAGGAAGCTATAGGGTTCACCCTTACCCTTACATAACATAGGAAGCTATCGGCTTCACCCCTACATAGCATAGAAGCTATCGGGTTCACCCTTACTTGACATAGGAAGCTATCAGGTTCACCCCTGCATAACATAGGAAGCTATCGAGTTCACCCTTACTTAACATAGGAAGCTATCGGGTTCACCTTTAAATAACATAGGAAGCTATCGGGTTCACCCTCACCCTTACATAATATAGGAAGCTATCGGGTTCACCCTTACTTAACATAGGAAGCTATCGGGTTCACCATTACACAACATAGGAAGCTATCGGGTTCACCCTTACATAACATAGGAAGCTATCGGGTTCACCCTTAGCCTTACTTAACATAGGAAGCTATCAGGTTCACCCTTACTTAACATAGGAAGCTATCAGGTTCACCCCTACATAACATAGGAAGCTATCGAGTTCAGCCTTACTTAACATAGGAAGCTATCGGGTTCACCCTTACCCTTACATAACACATAGGAAGCTATCGGGTTCACCCTTACATAACATAGGAAGTTATCAGGTTCACCCTTACCCTTACATAACATAGGAAGCAATCGGGTTCACCCTTACATAACATAGGAAGCTATCGGGTTCACCATTACATAACATAGGAAGTTGCGAGACAGGCAGATTTCTAAATATTATCTTGACATTTTGGAGTTGAACTATAAGTATTTTACGACACTTCTTACTGTTTCTAAACATATACATCTCGAAGAACATATTGACCACACTACCTACGTTATATAGTTTTAATCTTAGACCGGTTTATAATGGTATGAGAAACACGAGGTTTCAAAGTTGTGCTAGCTGTTAGTGCTTAGCGTCCTCCAACCCCGTGAACGGCTAGTAATCATGCCATCCCTGGCCGATCCAGTAACCAGCTTGTACAAAGAAATCTATCATTCTACTGTTCGTATATGGAATGGGGCGTGTGTATGTGTTAGTGTGTATGTGTTAGTGTGTATGTGTTAGTGTGTATGTGTTAGTGTGTATGTGTTAGTGTGTATGTGTTAGTGTGCGTGTGGTGTGTACTCATTTTCACACTGAACACAACAATTTCGACATTTTGGCATTTTCCAGTAATAGAGAAATATCACTTTTTGGCGTTTGAGAAAGATCCCCTCACGGCTGTTATTAGTCCAGGAGAACACCTTGCCAGCTACACGTTCTGGAGTGTCGTCAACTTACCATGTCTCCCTCACGGCTGTTATTAGTCCAGGACAACACCTTGCCAGCTACACGTTCTAGAGTGTCGTCAACTTACCATGTCTCCCTCACGGCTGTTATTAGTCCAGGAGAACACCTTGCCAGCTACACGTTCTAGAGAGTTGTCAACTTACCATGTCTCCTTCACGGCTGTTATTAGTCCAGGAGAACACCTTGCCAGCTACACGTTCTAGAGAGTCGTCAACTTACCATGTCTCCCTCACGGCTGTTATTAGTCCAGGAGAGCACCTTGCCAGCTACACGTTCTAGAGAGTCGTCAACTTACCATGTCTCCCTCACGGCTGTTATTAGTCCAGGAGAACACCTTGCAAGCTACACGTTCTAGAGAGTTGTCAACTTACCATGTCTCCCTCACGGATGTTATTAGTCCAGGAGAACACCTTGCCAGCTACACGTTCTAGAGAGTCGTCAACTTACCATGTCTCCCTCACGGATGTTATTAGTCCAGGGGAACACCTTGCCAGCTACACGTTCTAGAGAGTCGTCAACTTACCATGTCTCCCTCACGGCTGTTATTAGTCCAGGAGAACACCTTGCCAGCTACACGTTCTAGAGAGTCGTCAACTTACCATGTCTCCCTCACAGGTGTTATTAGTCCAGGAGAACACCTTGCCAGCTACACGTTCTAGAGAGTCGTCAACTTACCATGTCTCCCTTACGGCTGTTATTAGTCCAGGAGAACACCTTGCCAGCTACACGTTCTAGAGAGTCGTCAACTTACCATGTCTCCCTCACGGCTGTTATTAGTCCAGGGGAACACCTTGCAAGCTACACGTTCTAGAGAGTCGTCAACTTACCATGTCTCCCTCACGGCTGTTATTAGTCCAGGAGAACACCTTGCCAGCTACACGTTCTAGAGCGTCGTCAATTTACCATGTCTCCCTCACGGCTGTTATTAGTCCAGGAGAACACCTTGCCAGCTACACGTTCTAGAGAGTCGTCAACGTCCAATGTCTCCCTCACAGGTGGTATTAGTCCAGGAGAACACCTTTCCAGCTACACGTTCTAGAGAGTCATCAACTTACCATGTCTCCCTTACGGCTGTTATTAGTCCAGGAGAACACCTTGCCAGCTACACGTTCTAGAGAGTTGTCAACTTACCATGTCTCCCTCACGGCTGTTATTAGTCCAGGACAACACCTTGCCAGCTACACGTTCTAGAGAGTCGTCAACTTACCATGTCTCCCTCACGGCTGTTATTAGTCCAGGAGAACACTTTGCCAGCTACACGTTCTAGAGTGTCGTCAACTTACCATGTCCCCCTCACGGGTGTTATTAGTCCAGGAGAACACCTTGCCAGCTACACGTTCTAGAGTGTCGTCAACTTACCATGTCTCCCTCACAGGTGTTATTAGTCCAGGGGAACACCTTGCCAGCTACACGTTCTAGAGAGTCGTCAACTTACCATGTCTCCCTCACGGCTGTTATTAGTCCAGGAGAACACCTTGCCAGCTACACGTTCTCGAGAGTTGTCAACTTACCATGTCTCCCTCACGGCTGTTATTAGTCCAGGAGAACACCTTGCCAGCTACACGTTCTAGAGAGTCGTCAACTTACCATGTCTCCCTCACGGCTGTTATTAGTCCAGGAGAACACCTTGCCAGCTACACGTTCTAGAGTGTCGTCAACTTACCATGTCCCCCTCACAGGTGTTATTAGTCCAGGAGAACACCTTGCCAGCTACACGTTCTAGAGTGTCGTCAACTTACCATGTCTCCCTCACGGCTGTTATTAGTCCAGGAGAACACCTTGCCAGCTACACGTTCTAGAGAGTCGTCAACTTACCATGTCTCCCTCACAGGTGTTATTAGTCCAGGAGAACACCTTGCCAGCTACACGTTCTAGAGAGTCGTCAACTTACCATGTCTCCCTTTACGGCTGTTATTAGTCCAGGAGAACACCTTTGCCAGCTACACGTTCTAGAGAGTCGTCAACTTACCATGTCTCCCTCACGGCTGTTATTAGTCCAGGGGAACACCTTGCAAGCTACACGTTCTAGAGAGTCGTCAACTTACCATGTCTCCCTCACGGCTGTTATTAGTCCAGGAGAACACCTTGCCAGCTACACGTTCTAGAGCGTCGTCAATTTACCATGTCTCCCTCACGGCTGTTATTAGTCCAGGAGAACACCTTGCCAGCTACACGTTCTAGAGAGTCGTCAACGTCCAATGTCTCCCTCACAGGTGGTATTAGTCCAGGAGAACACCTTTCCAGCTACACGTTCTAGAGAGTCATCAACTTACCATGTCTCCCTTTACGGCTGTTATTAGTCCAGGAGAACACCTTGCCAGCTACACGTTCTAGAGAGTTGTCAACTTACCATGTCTCCTCACTGTTATTAGTCCAGGAGAACACCTTGCCAGCTACACGTTCTAGAGAGTCGTCAACTTACCATGTCTCCCTCACGGCTGTTATTAGTCCAGGAGAACACTTTGCCAGCTACACGTTCTAGAGTGTCGTCAACTTACCATGTCCCCCTCACGGATGTTATTAGTCCAGGAGAACACCTTACCAGGTACACGTTCTAGAGAGTTGTCAACTTACCATGTCTCCCTCACGGCTGTTATTAGTCCAGGGGAACACCTTGCCAGCTACACGTTCTAGAGAGTCGTCAACTTACCATGTCTCCCTCACGGCTGTTATTAGTCCAGGAGAACACCTTGCCAGCTACACGTTCTAGAGAGTTGTCAACTTACCATGTCTCCCCTCACGGCTGTTATTAGTCCAGGAGAACACCTTGCCAGCTACACGTTCTAGAGTGTCGTCAACTTACCATGTCTCCCTCACAGGTGTTATTAGTCCAGGAGAACACCTTGCCAGCTACACGTTCTAGAGTGTCGTCAACTTACCATGTCTCCCTCACAGGTGTGATTAGTCCAGGAGAACACCTTGCAAGCTACACGTTCTGGAGTGTCGTCAACTTACCATGTCTCCCTTACGGCTGTTATTAGTCCAGGAGAACACCTTGCCAGCTACACGTTCTCGAGAGTTGTCAACTTACCATGTCTCCCTCACGGCTGTTATTAGTCCAGGAGAACACCTTGCCAGCTACACGTTCTAGAGAGTCGTCAACTTACCATGTCTCCCTTACGGCTGTTATTAGTCCAGGAGAACACCTTGCCAGCTACACGTTCTAGAGTATCGTCAACTTACCATGTCCCCTCACAGGTGTTATTAGTCCAGGAGAACACCTTGCCAGCTACACGTTCTAGAGTGTCGTCAACTTACCATGTCTCCCCTCACGGCTGTTATTAGTCCAGGAGAACACCTTTCCAGCTACACGTTCTAGAGTGTCGTCAACTTACCATGTCTCCCTCACAGGTGTTATTAGTCCAGGAGAACACCTTGCCAGCTACACGTTCTGGAGTGACGTCAACTTCCCATGTCTCCCTTACGGCTGTTATTAGTCCAGGAGAGCACCTTGCCAGCTACACGTTCTAGAGAGTTGTCAACTTACCATGTCTCCCTCACGGCTGTTATTAGTCCAGGACAACACCTTGCCAGCTACACGTTCTAGAGTGTCGTCAACTTACCATGTCTCCCTCACGGCTGTTATTAGTCCAGGAGAACACCTTGCCAGCTACACGTTCTAGAGAGTCGTCAACTTACCATGTCTCCCTTACGGCTGTTATTAGTCCAGGAGAACACCTTGCCAGCTACACGTTCTAGAGTATCGTCAACTTACCATGTCCCCCTCACAGGTGTTATTAGTCCAGGAGAACACCTTGCCAGCTACACGTTCTAGAGTGTCGTCAACTTACCATGTCTCCCTCACGGCTGTTATTAGTCCAGGAGAACACCTTGCCAGCTACACGTTCTAGAGAGTCGTCAACGTCCAATGTCTCCCTCACAGGTGGTATTAGTCCAGGAGAACACCTTTCCAGCTACACGTTCTAGAGAGTCATCAACTTACCATGTCTCCCTTACGGCTGTTATTAGTCCAGGAGAACACTTTGCCAGCTACACGTTCTAGAGTGTCGTCAACTTACCATGTCCCCCTCACGGATGTTATTAGTCCAGGAGAACACCTTGCCAGCTACACGTTCTAGAGAGTTGTCAACTTACCATGTCTCCCTCACGGCTGTTATTAGTCCAGGGGAACACCTTGCCAGCTACACGTTCTAGAGAGTCGTCAACTTACCATGTCTCCCTCACGGCTGTTATTAGTCCAGGAGAACACCTTGCCAGCTACACGTTCTAGAGAGTTGTCAACTTACCATGTCTCCCTCACGGCTGTTATTAGTCCAGGAGAACACCTTGCCAGCTACACGTTCTAGAGTGTCGTCAACTTACCATGTCTCCCTCACAGGTGTTATTAGTCCAGGAGAACACCTTGCCAGCTACACGTTCTAGAGTGTCGTCAACTTACCATGTCTCCCTCACAGGTGTGATTAGTCCAGGAGAACACCTTGCAAGCTACACGTTCTGGAGTGTCGTCAACTTACCATGTCTCCCTTACGGCTGTTATTAGTCCAGGAGAACACCTTGCCAGCTACACGCTCGAGAGTTGTCAACTTACCATGTCTCCCCTCGGCTGTTATTAGTCCAGGAGAACACCTTGCCAGCTACACGTTCTAGAGAGTCGTCAACTTACCATGTCTCCCTTACGGCTGTTATTAGTCCAGGAGAACACCTTGCCAGCTACACGTTCTAGAGTATCGTCAACTTACCATGTCCCCCTCACAGGTGTTATTAGTCCAGGAGAACACCTTGCCAGCTACACGTTCTAGAGTGTCGTCAACTTACCATGTCTCCCTCACGGCTGTTATTAGTCCAGGAGAACACCTTTCCAGCTACACGTTCTAGAGTGTCGTCAACTTACCATGTCTCCCTCACAGGTGTTATTAGTCCAGGAGAACACCTTGCCAGCTACACGTTCTGGAGTGACGTCAACTTCCAATGTCTCCCTTACGGCTGTTATTAGTCCAGGAGAGCACCTTGCCAGCTACACGTTCTAGAGAGTTGTCAACTTACCATGTCTCCCTCACGGCTGTTATTAGTCCAGGAGAACACCTTGCCAGCTACACGTTCTAGAGTGTCGTCAACTTACCATGTCCCCCTCACAGGTGTTATTAGTCCAGGAGAACACCTTGCCAGCTACACGTTCTAGAGTGTCGTCAACTTACCATGTCTCCCTCACAGGTGTTATTAGTCCAGGAGAACACCTTGCCAGCTACACGTTCTGGAGTGTCGTCAACTTACCATGTCTCCCTTACGGCTGTTATTAGTCCAGGAGAGCACCTTGCCAGCTACACGTTCTAGAGAGTTGTCAACTTACCATGTCTCCCTCACGGCTGTTATTAGTCCAGGAGAACACCTTGTCGGCGGCGTCTCTCTTGGTTAGATAATTAGGGAATGCACAAGACGCAGGTTGTCGTAGCCGAGGAAGGTGTTAAGCCAGGAGGCAGCCACGTCTCCGCAGTCGATGACGTCCATGTTGACACCATAGATTCTGGAAGATAAGAAATCTGGCCGTGTTACTAAATTAGCAAGGAGTCGAGCTACCGGGTCGGTAGGCCGTGTTCGCCGCTCTGTCCTGGTTAGTTACTCACCTGCATGATATAACATTGGTAAAGTCGGCCATGTAAAGCGCCAGGCTGGGCATGTTGGGCGCGTCGAGCCGCAAGTCCCCGTTACCAAGTGGAGTGGTTGAGATGAGCATCAGCCGGGTCTCAGTTTTCATGTTGCACATGTACCCATCTTTGATCACCATCCAGTGTCTGCATATACCAAATGATTTATGTTGAGAACTTATCAAACCATAGTAATAATACACCAACACTCGTGGTGTTGTATACATCTATGTGTCGGCCGTTTGTATATTCATACCTTCTGAATGCCTATAGATCGCGAATTACCAATATGTTCTTGAAATGACAAAATAATGACCCGACTACCAGCTCCATCCCGAGCCGCACATCCTGCTCGCCGTAATCCCTATATTACCAGGCGGTATACCTGCCTGCTGGGGACACCGTCATCCCTATATTACCAGACGGAATACCTGCCTGCTGGGGACGCCGTCATCCCTACATTACCCGACGGAATACCTGCCTGCTGGGGACGCCGTCATCCCTATATTACCAGACGGAATACCTGCCTGCTGGGGACGCCGTCATCCCTATATTACCAGACGGAATACCTGCCTGCTGGGGACACCGTCATCCCTACATTACCCGACGGAATACCTGCCTGCTGGGGACACCGTCATCCCTACATTACCAGACGGAATACCTGCCTGCTGGGGACGCCGTCATCCCTATATTACCAGACGGAATACCTGCCTGCTGGGGACGCCGTCATCCCTACATTACCAGACGGAATACCTGCCTGCTTGGAACTGCAAATCTGGAGGTCTTGTGAACATGAAAGTACTATGAAAACTGCTTTACAGTGTACTTGCAGCCAAATCAATCATTTGATAAAACTGTATGAAAGTGAGGTGTTCTGCTGCATCCCATGGACAGAAACATGAACATATGACCATTCTGGTATCACTGTGGGCGGCGCTGCTGCACAGTGCATTGCTCTGAAGGTTTTCCCTAGGTTTTTCTGAAGGTTTTCGCACATCTATTGGCACCACTTCAGGTATGACTCATATATCCTTGCCAGCATGTTTAACAACACCCAAACCTGACATCAAGGACACGTGAATGTCATCAAGAGGTGTTTCAGGACACTTGTCAAACTGACTTGGTGACACCTGTCGTTTAGTTGTGTACTACCAGCGTGATCCACATTCAACATCTTGTAACATGGCCACCACTATCCCCATCGCTGGATGCATTATCTAGTTTATTTGCAATAAACACAAAATGATGATATGTGTTACCACTGTCCCTCTCAGATGCCCCCCTCTTACTTGTACCAACCACTCATCCCGTGAGAGTGTAAACCCGTGAAGATCCGGGTTAGAATTGATCTTCAATAACCCATGCTTGTCGTAAGAGGCGACTAATGGGATCGAGTGGTTGACACATATCATCGTATCCCAGCTGTGTAGATCGATGCTCATTGCTGTTGATCACTGGATTGTCTGGTCCAGACTCGATTATTTACAGGTCGTCGCAACTGGAGCATTGCTGAGTGCGGCGTAAAACTAAACTCACTCACTCACCACTGTGCGAGTGTAACACTTTCATGTGTAGCCTACTTCAGTTTATACTGTCACTTTAAGTTACCTGTCCAAAAGTCCCCGGTAACTGAATCCCAGCTGAGTAGCTTCAGCTTCCTGGCACTCAATGGCTCCACATGACTTGACTGGGAAGGTGTACAGAGCATGCACCCGGCCCACACATTCAAACATCTCACCCCTCTTCTTCCTCAGCCAACTGAGGGCAGTCAGTTTAATGGCTGAGACTATGATGAAGAAAGAGAACAGCCCCAAGGGGGACTGAGTAATGTCTACCGCAAACATGTGGCCTGTGTGATATCCAGGTGGTTGTGAAGGTCGTGATACTATATCGCTCTTATCTGCACACAACGCTACGGTGCAGTGTTGAGGTCATAAACCGAGAGCATCTGCCTAGCACTGAACAGGGACAGCAACAGGAAAAGTGGCCCTGTGAACAACCGTACATCAGATCAAATGATGCTCCATATCAACTGATCACCGACTAAATATAATCGGAAATATCCTCACGTACACTCAACACACGTGTCCAAGCAGTTAACTGTTTACATATTCACGTTTTAGGATGGCTTGTCAGATTAATTTTCTTCTTTTCTCTTTTACCATTTCTTATGTGATCAAACTGTTTGCACATATTAACTTGTGGGAAAACCAACGAAAGAAAATAACTGCACGTCTCTGCTTTCAACTTCTACTTGTCTAAGTTACAATATGCGTGATGATACATGTCTGTGTATCACCCACTGCACGGTTTACTACATTGGGTAAATACATCTAATTTCGTCGTGCGTGTGTGTACGTATTTAACTAAGTTAACGGGTTAAAGTGATGTACAAAGACAGTTTGTGTATTTGACGCAAATACTCCGACATGATCTGGAGGTCTGGGACAGTACTAATTCATAACATATTCCATGTGTTTAAGATCTCATCAAATACCGTTATTACATGTTGATTAGTTTACAGTGTAAACAATATACAATAGTGAATATGATATAGTTTAGTCTATTGGTAAATTAAATCCCCTTCATAAAACAGGTGTTTTAAATGACGTCAACAACTGCAGGGGGGATAACTCGATTTTGTATCTTTGGTAAAATATTCACTTTTATTATTAAGAGACTTGTGTCTTGAATCAATGCCAATGATTACATTTCTGAATTTCAGGCTGGATTTAGGGAAGGATATTCAGCAGTTGATAACGTGTTTATATTGCAATGTCTGATACAGCGATGAGTTATATGAGCAACACGTGGTGGAAATAGTAACGATTACTAGTTGACTTATCTAACATTCGATTCTGTACGCAGGTATAAAGTATGGAGTTTATTTAATGCACGTGGACGTAGGTATCAACGTGTGTACGCGACAAGCGTGCATTATTTGATATGCTCGAAATACAAATTTGCCAGGGATATACTGAGTCCGTTTCTGTTTCATTTTCATACATGAATTAACATCAAAACTTCAAAACAGTTCTGTAAACGATATTCATTTACCATCCAGTCAAAACTCAAACAAATTGTATTCATAAATAGTTGTAAACTTGAAAAAAATGAAAAATGGTTATTTAAATGTGAAACTTTGGATGTAACTACACACTTTAATTAATTAAGTGTTCATTTCAGTAGCACAATCGAAATTAGTCTAAAAACGCAAGAGAAGCATCTGTCCAGGCCAAGAAGATTTCATTATATGTATTTTATTTGTAGAATATACAATGCTTGGAGACCCAAGTTTCTGTAATGTTTTTCATGTTAACATTCCTCCCTTGTTTCTTTACGGCGGTCAAATTGGTTATTAAAGCAATCCAGTGTTATCGAATGGCTTCTTGCGTATGCATGTAAAAGATTTCTAGGTGAAAAATTAGCACATCTAGCCCAATGTTTTCCCGCCAATGTTGTAGATTTGCTCTACTTATCAGCTTGACGTTAATATGTAGTATGTGCTGAAACTCTTTATAATGAATCCATCTCTGTAGAATAGGAAATGCCATGTGACCGATGTCAAGGTGATTTTGGCCTTTGACAGAATAACAGGGTAACTGACAAAGTTATAACGCAATAGCGGTTTTGGAAATGTTTGGTATCGACAATCTGTACAAACTCAAAATGAGTTTATCGATTCTCCGCTGCAGAGGCTAAAATATGTTTGTCTGCAATCCTGGTACTTTATGTTACAGGAGCCGAGAAATTGTTATTTTGTAGAATGTTGAAATCTCACACACACATATACTGCAATATATGATATATTTCGCAGTCATTTACAGATTCTAGTACTTTTGGGGGTTGAGTCAAACACACAAAATAAACACACCTGCAGTATAGCTAACGGTATATCTAGCTGAATATAGCTAACGGTAAATCAGCCAGCAGTACAGCTCTTGTCTATTGCTGTAGAGGAGGACTGGAGTACCGACAAATCAAATGCACATAGGCGGAGCATGATTCGACTACTCATTACAGGATTCTTGCATTCTAACGGTCGAGCTGAGAGGATAATCTGGAGTCGGCGAATGCCGGGGCTAGGATTTTGTGTATATTGATAAAAACATATTGATAAGAGTCATTTCCGATGACAGTTTTAAATATAACCACCATGCACATAGACAGGAAGGGGATGTACCCATATCTTGAACATTGGTTCAGTTTCAAGTCATTCATAGGCATTACATTACACGCACCAATCAGTGTTAAGTTAATAAACGATAGTAATTCATACGTTTTGGAGTTTCTAATGTGTTATACAGAGTGTCGGATCAGAGTGTCGGATCAGAAACAAATTTAGCCTATTGATTAATCATACATGGTTTTCAGCGTCATTTTATGGCTAAATTACATGGGATGACACAAGTTATGTGATTCTGACAAATTGTAACGAAGTTTATAACGTGGCTTGTACAAGGAAGTCATTGACAACGAACATGGTCAAACAGAAAAGCAAAATTTCATTCCTATGAGCTTCTGGAAATCTTAAAGCCGAATTTAATACTAAACTCGTTTGCTTTGTCCTCAGGCCGTCGTCACACACACACGGGCAGTCCTACTGATCAAGCAAGTTTGGATTATTGCCCAAACAGTGGGATTGCCTAAGCGTCGGACCGGACGGAGACGGTACCGCTTCCAAGTGTCTAATATTGCAGAATTTAAATCAAACACGAAAGAGCAACCTCCTTCCATTACTTTCAACATATTCCCTATTCAAGCGTTCTGTCCTGTGAAGGAAACGGAAGCAACTTAGTCTCAAAGAACATGGTGAACAAATCCAACTTACTTTGACGGTTGTAAGAAACACTTCGTAAATTTCATAAACATTTGGGTTCCACCTTCTCTTGAAATGGGAGTAAGTGTCATCATATTGATTATAGTCAAGGAAACCTCAAAAATGACATTGCACTTAGAAAAATGTAATTTTTCAAGTAAAATTGATATTTTTATACTTATCCTGACTCATGATCTTTTGCTTATCTCCCTTTCCTTTTCGAATGGTAGTGGAACACTTGAATCCCTTGAAGTTCCCGAAGCGGACGTATAAATACACTCACCCACGAGTTACCTCCCTTTTGCCCTTTTCCCGCGCAAACAGTCATGTGACCAGCCTTAGTTGTCACTCTCTCCTGATTTTCTGCCCATGCACTTGGATCTCCTGTGAAATCCAAAGTGTCTCCAGTGGGGAGGTTGGGAGGGCTTCTCGTCAAGAGTCAGGATACGTATAAAAATATCAACTTTACTGGAAAAAATACATATTTTTTCTTATCCTGACTCATGATCTTTCGCTTATAGAATCCGACGGATTGGTGGTGGGTCAAGCCACTTCCTGGATTCATCAGCTGTCCTTAGATACGTCCTGGCTTTCGAACTAATACTTTTTCCTTAGTAAAAGTTATCAACAAGTCAACGTGATAAAGGGTGAGATTTTCCAACTCAGCGCCTTTGAAGAACCGTTAGTTGCTGTGCTACAACGAGAGGCCCAAATTGGTGAATGCCTGAGACGTCTTCAGTGGCTATGTCTCGGAGGTAGTGGTTGGCAAACACCGTGTCCGACTTCCAAAAGCAGCCCTCCATAATTGCTGATATAGAGCAATTTCCATGCAGAGCCAGTGTTGACGCCAGTCCTCTGACTTCATGTGGGTTGGAAGCTCAAGGAGGTTCTAGTCCTGCTGCTTTATAGGCTCTCAATATAACGGCTCTCATCCAGAACGATATCGTCGTTCTTGAGACTTCTGCTGATGTCTCTGTGGATAATTGGATGAACAGGTGCTTCAATTTTCGTCTCCTTGGTTTAGTCTTTTGAAGATATATCTTCAGGGCTCTGACCGGACACAAGGATAAGTCCTCTATATCCTCTGGTCCGAGGATTGTAGATAGCGCTGGTACGTAGAACTGTCTACCTGGCTGGCCAGGTAGTTGGTTCTTGGCAATGAACTCCCATCTAAGTCCTAGATTAACTGCAGCATGTTGCCCCGTGTCGAATCTGGTTCGACCAAAGTCCAGCGCATGTATCTCTGATATTCGAGCTGCCGTGGCTAGCGCAAGCAGGAACAGAGTCTTCTATGTCAGCAGATCGAGGGTAGTCTGGTCTAGAGGTTCGTAGGCATCACTCGTAAGATGACGTAAAATTACATTCAGATCCCAGGCCGGAGCTCTGAACTTCTTTTGCTGGTCCTCCAGTTTAAATGATCTCAGCAGAGCAAGTCACTCTGGTACTTCCGTCAACTTGATGCCTGTTTTCATGGTAATCACTGTACTCATGGCGGCGAGGTATGTAGATAATGTCGAACCTTTCAGATGTCTGGTCTGTCTAAGATGACACAGATATTCCGCCACTTGAGGATGAGTAGCTTTCATCACAGTGAAGCCTTTCCGCCTTGCATAAGTCTCAAACTTCAGCCATTTGTCATCATACAGGTTACGAGTAGATCTGCGTAATGCTAGCGTTACTGCCTTGGCTGCCCTGGTGGAGTATCCTCTTTTCTTCAAACATGTTTTGATACGGTCCACACGTGTAGCTGGAACGTTGTCGGGTTCCCGTGGACTTGCTTGTTGTGCGGATGTATGAGTAGGTTCGGCCAATCTGGTAACTTGATTGCTGGACTTCCGAGATCTTCTATAAGGTCTGGGAACCATACTCTCGCTAGCCAGTATGGCGCGACCAAAGTCAGTTGTAGCGCCTGTGTCTGTTTGATCTTCAACAGTACTTCCGGAAGTAATATCGGGGGTGGAAACACGTAAGCGTTTAGTCCTTCCCAAGATATACTTAGTGCATCTGTTGCCCAGGCTTGAGGATCTGGAACTGGTGAGTCAAACG